CCAGATCTTTGATATCTAATGTATAATTTATGTTTACTTCACAGGCTATTTTGGAGCTACATTATTATTACATGTACTATGACTGCATCTAAATTTCATGAGATTTAGAGTTTTCAAAGTATACTAAAATATCCAGGTGTACCAGTAACTGAATGGAATGTTAGTTAAAGATTTATTGAGGTATAATTAAGTTGCATTATTAATTCACTCAATAATTTCAGTCTATCTACTGAAGTTTTCATTTTTTTTTCGTTGTCTTAAATTCTACTTATCTGCACTCAAGTTCACTTAGTATATATTCTTTTATCTCCATGTCAATACTGAGCCAACTACCAATTTGTTTATAGATGTATTTTTCAGTACTATACTTTTATTTATTTCACTATGATAATGTCTAATGTTTTCTTTAGATTATTTTATTAAGTAGGGGGATTGAAGCCAGTGCCCAGTGCATGGCAAACAAGCCAACTCAGCTAGCCCCCCACCATTCCGTTCCTGTTTTTAAAGATAATTTGTACCTGCTTACTGAAGTTTTTCCACGATCTGTGTTCTAACTTGTTTGTCTGATAACAGCATCTGATTCTCCTCTGTGTTTGTGTCAGTAAATTGCCTTTTATCGCTCATGTCGCAACATTCCTGTTTTTCTGTCTACTGAGGAATTTCCACCAGGCCCTGGACTTTCTGACCATTATCTTCCTAGGCTTTTGGGCTTATCTTTTATTTTAATAGATACCCATTCACTGAGGTTCGGCATAGAGATTCTGAAGGTTTATACAAGTTTATCACATCACAAGAATGGGAGCCCATGCCTCTAGAAACAAGCCTTCCAGGCAACCAAGTTCCAAACCTTTAGCAGGGCAAGAATACACTCAGTTTCCCTGCTGCCCCCCCCCCCCCCAAACAGGCCGATCACTGTCATGCTGGTAAGGCATATGTTATCTAGGACCTTTGTTCTGTGTAAATTTCCACTCACCCCTTAACCGGAGATGTGGTTGGAACTTTGCAAACATCTGCCTTAGCCCCAAACCATAGAGAGCACAGTGTGTTTTAACCTAATATGGTCATGTTGACTGACCTAAGGTCTACTTCTTGTGGTGCAACATTTACCATTCCCTAAGAAAACTTTCAAAAACAGCACCCTTAGGTTTCTCAAAGTCATCTGTAACTTTACCTCAGACATTGCCCCAAGGTTGACTTGAATTAACCTTTTGCCTGTCTTGAGACATCTCTGGAACTACTGTGTTCTTATAATCTGGAAACTTAAGAGACTTATAGTTTCAGTGATTCTTTAATTTCTATGATCTTTAATGCTATTTTCACGTGATCTGACACCACTGGTGCTTCCACTAATCTTGTTAATGCCCCCAAAAGCAATGGAGACTCAGACACTTGAGAGGCTATCTTTCCTACTAATGCCACTCAATAGGTCCATATCAGTAGAAAACAAAATGGATTCACCATGTTTCAGGGAGTTCCTGTTGTGACTTGATTCTTCTTGATGGCGCTGATTATCAACCTTGTTTGATACATGGAATACAGAACTATGTAGTGTATAGGACACAAAGAGAGGCTCCCCAAAGCAAGTCTGTTGAGTGTTCTCTGTTAGCATTTCAGCTAGGTGTCTCTGGGAGAGAAGGAGAGGTCTGCCCCAGTTAGGAAGGCAAGCACTTCCGTGGCTGCAAACTGTCAGTAAGAGTTTCTTTCCAGCTTATAGTCCTAGACAAGTCACCAAACTTATTTGTGGAACCCCTGGGGTGAGGTGAGGATATTGGTGCTTTTTTTCTATTGCTGGTTTGAATGTCATTTAAATTGGGTACCTTTCTACCTTATGGTTTCTCCATGCCCTGGATTCTACAACCCTGTCACCTTCTCTCCACTTCTCTGAAATCTCTTACATTATTGTCAGCATTGTGTCTCTACTTTATGGGGAAGAGAAAAAAGTAAAGCATCTGAACAGTCTTGTCTCAAATCCGAAGTCATAGATCTAATTTCATTTGTCCTTAAAACTCATCAGTCATTTGCAACTTCAGTTACATTTCTAAATGTCTACTTATTTCTTTTTCATGGTTTAATAGTTTTCTGCGTGCCAGTTACAATTAAGCATTTTTGGTACTTGATTAAATATAGTTTTATGGGTCCTACAGAAAGTCCATAAGAAAACAATCTTAATGATTTTTTATATTATAGTTCCAAGCCCAGAGTTGTTATAAACATCAGTTACAAATTCCTTCTAAATACTGAATTGTATTCATTGGTAAGGTGGTGTGGGACCATGGTCTGTATTCTGTCAATTATATTTTAAATAAATGCTGATTGACCAGTAGCCAGGCAGGAAGTATAAGTGGGACAACCAGACAGGAAGTAGAGGCGGGTCAAGGAGAACAGGAGAATTCTAAGAAGGAGGAAGCCCATTCCTCCCCAGTCCTGTCGCAACCACAGAAGAAGGAAGATGTGATTGCCCCATTGAAAAAGGTACTGAGCCATGTGGCTAACACAAATAAGAATAATGGGCTAATATAAATTATAGGAGCTAATAATAAGCCTGAGCCAATGGGCCAATCAGTTTATCATTAATATAGACCTCTGTGTGATTTCTTTGGGGCTAATCATCTGTGGAACCTGGTGGGAGGACAGAAACCAGAAAGGAAAAAAAAAACTCAGACAACAAGTGGTGCCTACGTGAACAAGTGCATCCACATAAAGTCTGACAGAGCTTGTTAAATAATTCTAGACAGAAAAGAATAGAGTAAATCATGGCTTCTTGGTAGCAGCAATTTCTCGGGTCTGCTCTGCTTGCTACAAGGCAAGCAAGCACTGTCATTTAAGAGAAGCTTCCTGACTCAGCTTTTGCTGCAAAACTTTGCAGCTCTTTAAAAAGGTCTTGCCACAAAACACTTAAATGGTGTTGATGAAAAGCTGACCGCATGCTTTCTGTTGGTGGCAGGGACCTTGAAACACCATAGAGTTGTGGCAATAAACATGGCTCCGGCCAGTACCTCAGCCATGAGGCTAAAATCTCAGAAAGCTAAGAAATGTACTGGATCCAGCCAACAAAGCCATAGCTTTAATCCTACCCATACTGCTTAGCAAATTAAAGACTCATGTGGTCAGGAAAAAAAAAAGAGAGAGATATACATTAAAGAGAGAGTCAAAGATGAAGGAAAGCTCTAATTGGTTTTCAATGTGTTAAGAATATATGTAGGCTTGGGAGAGAAAAGAAAATGGTTAAAGTCCTTAAAATAAAAAGAAAGAAAGAGTATTTGGGTGTGGTGGCACACGCCTTCAATCCCAACACTTAGGAGACAGAGGCAGGCAGACCTCTATGAGTTCAAGGTGCAGTGGCACATGCATTTAATCCCAATGCCTGGGAGGCAGAGGCAGACAGACCTCTGTGAGTTCAAGGTGTGGTAGCACACATCTTTAATCCCAATACTTAGAAGACAGAGTCAGAGAGACCGCTGTGAATTCAAGGTGTGGTGGCATACACCTTTAATCCCAGCACTTGGGAGGCAGAGGCAGGTAGATCTCTGTGAGTTCAAAGACAGCCTGGTCTATACAGAGAGTTCCAGGACAGCCAAAGATATACAGAGAACCCGTCTCAAAAAGTAAAAGTAAAAATAAAAGAAATAGAGATTAAAATAAAGTCATGTAAAGATGAAAATTACACAGAGAATCTTAATACTGTATGTTATTATGCTCTCTTTGAATTATTTGAATGCTGAGGAAGGAGCAACAGCTGCTAAAAGATATTTGCTTATAAATGCTGCTGAATTAATCCAAGATAGATATTTTGAAAATACCTTGATTTCAAAATTGAAGTCACAAAGTATGTTACTTTGGAGAAGAGATTTTGCTTTTGTTTCCACAGGAAATAAGAACCTGTGGATTCATTCTGAGTTAAGAAAAATCAGCTTTGATCAAGAAAGACTACCTGAGAAATCTCCAGTAGAAACAGATGGCCCAGATGTCAGAGTTCTACATCCAGAACAGATTCAAGATACTGTCTGAGATGATCAAGCCTCACAGGATCAGGACTTGATCATAATTCTAAATTTTGTTTAGGTCCCCATAAGATTATCAGCACCCCCAACCAGCAGAAAGTAGCCTGGAATACTACACCCACATTCCCAAAAAATGGACTATGGATGATCTTGGGTTTTTGTTTTTGTTTTTTAAAGAGGGGGAAGTGGTGTGGGACCATGGTCTATATTCTATCAATTATATTTTAAATAAACGCAAATTGGCCAGTAACCAGGCAGGAAGTATAGGCAGGAAAACCAGACAAGAAATAGAGGTGAGTCAAGGAGAACAGGAGAATTCCGGGAAGGAGGAAGCCCATTCCTCCCCAGTCCTGTCCCAACCACAGAAGAAGGAAGATGTGATTACCCTGCTGAAAAAGGTACCAAGCTATGTGGCTAACACAGATAAGAATAATGGGCTAATATAAGTTATAAGAGCTAATAAGAATCCTGAGCCAATGGGCCAATCAGTTTATTATTAATATAGACCTCTGTGTGATTTCTTTGGGGCTAAACAACTGTGGGACCAGGCAGGACAGAAACCTCACACAACAGTAAGGCATATTTGTAATATTTATTATCCTTTAAGATTAAACTGTATGATCAACTAAATAGTAGGAAACTGAGATTTTATGAGTTGCTTTAAATGTTTTCTTTATTTATAAATCCATTTTCTTTAATTTTTGTTAGATTTTTCTTTGTCATAAACTGCATTATGAAAAACTTGCAAATAAAGATATAAATTTGTTTTTAAACAGAAGTCCTGGCCAAAGAATACTCAGTATATTGATTTCTGCACTTTAATTAATGCTGTCTTTGCAGATTAAATAGCATGAGCTGGAAATACATTCTTCTGAGATAATTCAGTTTTATCAAAGGTAAATTTTACTAGTTCTTTAAAAAATCACCAACATTTCAAAGGCATTCCACTAAGAATATGAGAGGCAATGCATTTGCTGCTTGAAAGCAAAGGTTACTTACTGCTCTTTTCCTAGAACACCCTGTAATCCAAGGCACAGTAAGGGTTCCTGAAATCTGTGGAAACAACAAATGGAATCTTAGTAAAGTATGGATTCACATTGCTTGTAATGCTGATAAACACTAAAAAACACAGTGCATGCTGTGAAAATAAATAGATAGATCTGTATTCAAATTATACTCCAAATCAAAGGTATTTTTCCTTACCAATTTAGAGGGCCTTCCCTTGCATAAAAAGAAAAAATTAAAAATGGTATAAAATTCCCTTAGAAATTACAAAATAAATGTTTGTTGGGTCCTGTAAAGGATATGAAAGTGTATGGAAAATAAAATTATTTTAAAAATGTAATGCTTTAAGGATTAAATGGAAAATGGAACTTCTTAAAAACACCATCAGCCTAGGCAGTTTGGATGCTCAACTTACTAGACCTGGATGGAGGTGGGGGTTCCTTGGACTTCCCACAGGACAGGGAACCCTGATTGCTTTTCGGGCTGAGGAGAGGGTGGGGACTTAATTGGGGGAGGGGGAGGGAAATGGGAGGCGGTGGCGGGGAAGAGACAGAAATCTTTAATAAATAAATAAATTTAAAAAAAGAAACAAAAAAAAACATCATCACAAACAAGAGATGATATTATAAATGAAACACATTAAGTATTTACTTCGAACACTCAGCAGTTGCTAACATAAATATTGTTATAGTCACCTTCTTAATGTAAACCTTAGGGATTCAGTGCAAATCACTGAATCACTGTTTCTCTAAATTGTGTCCTCACTAGTTATCTATCTTGTTATGCATTCCACTCTTTATCCACCCTTATCATAGAATGATAAAATGTAGATTGTAAAAGATCACTGAATTAAAGGACAATACTTTTGTATAAATAAAATATGGCTGTAAAAGGTAGCAAGGTGAACTTTTAAGCCACATCAACCACATCAAGGCTATCAAGATAAGAATGTGTCCAGCAAAATCTGTTCTTTTTGAGTCACAGTTCAGTATTCAGTGTTGAAGTTGTGCAATGTTGCAATCATGAACAGATAGGTACATCTTCCAGAGTCTACAATTATTTCATATCTTGGCAAATACTTGCCAATATTGTCTCCAAATGTTGAGAGATTTTAACTTTTACAAATGGAACAGAGTAATGGTCATAGTTACGAACACACTTGCTTCAATTCCCTGTATAAAGGAGATGGGAATTTGGCTTCACATAGTAAAAGTATTTTTCTTCATTGTAAAATATTTTCACTCAGTGTACAATAAAATGGCGATTAGCTGAATGCTGAAGGTCATGACAGAGTTGCATAATTGACTTTTTATTTTAAAATAAATAGGGTAAATCAACTAAAATAATCACATTCTGTGCTCCATAAAATAGCAAAATTCAATTATTTCGAATTATCGCTTTACATAGTTCTATTAGTGAGAATAATTCAAGAGAAGCTCCACAGAACTTCTAGAAAACAAGTATGCTATCACAAAAAAAATATGGCTAAAACAGAATTGTAAAACAGCAACTACTAAAGAGTTGGGTAAAACTAAAATTTTATAATCAACTAACATCTACTGTAATATATTCTCTATTCCCTTACATTTCTAGCACAATCTAAAGAACAGCTAACCAGAGTAGCTAGATTTGTTTTGTTTTACAAAATTGAAGAATACCATAAATAAACATTTATATAACTTTGGGGAGTCTTGTTTGGTACAAAATCGAAGGCGGGATTCTCTTTCACTAGAACCTAAAAAGCATAGTACTCAAGTGAAATGGACAATAAGTTTTAATGTTTTACATAAACAGCTTGGTTTTAAAAATTATGAAAGGAATTTACAAGGAGTGAGTCAAGGTGGATCTTACATATATTTCAAAACTTACACAGCCAAATGAGTGCTCTATATTTTAAAGTAGGAAATTTAGGATATTATAGACTCATTACAATAATGTTGTCATTGTTGAAAGCATCTGGGAAACTTGGAAATGTCAGTTCATGCCTCATCCAGAGATTCTGTCTCATTACTTCACACACCTTTTATTGTAACTAAAAAATACACCCTAGATTAAACATTCATACTATTCACTAAATGTGGCTCAGAATGAATTCTATTTTCCAAAATCAAATTTTAGTGATGATTTGTCATCACTAAAAGCATTTAAAAGAATCCCACAGGTACTTAAAACAATTGTAAAAGACTTCAAAAACTTTTTGACAAATTGAACATTATTGAAATAAGTAGATATAACTTTCCAAGGTATCTAATTTAAATTCTGTTCAAATGTCTATCAGGTATCTCTCCTATATGAGATTGTTACAGGAAATAAAAAGATAGGTAAAAAACCTAATTTCCTGGAGGGCAAGAACTATGATTTGAAAGGAAGAGATAAGAAAGGTACATGAAAGATTTTAATACAAAGAAAGCTATAGTAAGAGTTATAATGGATGTCCAATAAATAAAGCAGTACAAGTTCAAAGTATGGCAATATTACACCCACTTGTGGATTGGTATCTCAGCTGCATCTTAAAAAGTGAGTAGAATATTGATAGAACTAGAAAGAGATATTCCAAGAAAAAAAGAATTGTATTATCACTGTGGCATAACAGCATAGCTGTGTCCAAGGAAATGTCAGTCACTTTGTTGAAGTAAGGAATGCCATCTACACTTCAATCTAATTCTATAGAAAATATGGAGCTATTGAAATGTCTTTGGTACATCTGTTATGTGGCAGAACTATATTTTTGTAGATTAGGAAGTTTAATATGTCTCAGCATGTATAAGAAGTACACAAACTTTTCTAAATATTTGTGCAAGAGGCAATACAGACTTGACTAAGAAGGATGAAAGGTAAAGAGAAATGCAAAAAATCAATACATTAAAAGACAGATATTATGTATGAGACAGAAAATAATTGAATGCTTGGGAGATGACAATGGGCTTTGTTTAATGAACATCATAAAGCTACTTCCTAGACAGGCCAACCCGTTCAATCTAACCAAGAATCATAAGTTTAATATAAGGATATGTCTTTTGCTGGAAGTCTGTGTCTTATGACTAAGCGTGGATATATTTGGAAAAAATGCAATTGCTTGGATGTAAATTAGAATTACATTGTGTGTGTGTAGTTGTGCATAGTAATTCACATGTTTCATGTAAAATCATGCTTATACTTTGAACTGATGATACAAATCAATATATAATTTTTAAATCATTTTGAAAATTAAAATTATTTCCTTTCAGAGAATTTATATCCTACAAATGTCACACAGGAATTCCATTAAATATTAACCTGATTCAAAAAGTAATTTAGTTATTTTGTTCGTTAGTGTTTGTCAGCTTAACACAGGCTAGTCATCTGAAAAGAAGAAAGTTCAATTGAGAAAATGTCTACAAAAGATTGACCTGTGTGAAAAACTATGGAGCATTTACTTGATTAATGGTTGGTATGGGAGGGCCCAGCTCACTGTGAGCAATGCCACTCCTGGGCCAGTGGTCCTGAGTTGTATAACAAAACAAATATTGGAGAGCAATTTAGTACGCAATATTCCTTCATGGTCTCTATTTCAGTTCCTGTCTTGAGGCTTCTTGTGTTCCTGGCCAAAACTTCCTCAATGATGGATTGTAATGTGGACGTGTAAGTCAAATAAACCTTTTCTTCTGAAGTTGCTTTGGTCATGCTGTTTTCTAATGGGGTATTATTGTGGCAGACCTGACCATGTCATTTCTGGGAGGGTTGTGATATATTTTGTGATGCTGGGCTGAAAAAAGCCATTGACAACTCAGAGCTTAATGAGCTGTTCTGTGGTAACTTGAAAGATAATGCTGAAAAAGATGCAGAGAATGGAAGCCTAGCTTGTTATATGTTTTAGAGGGAAGTTTTTGAGAATCCTTCAGACTTTATCCAGGTCATTCAAGAAATATTTTAAGTTACAAATATATGATGTTTGCTCAGCTGGGGCTGAAATATCAATTATGATTAACAAGAGACCAGCACCACTACAATAAAACCTTTGCTTCACTGGGACAATTGAGCTGTTGGCTTTGGCTGAGCGATAACTATGATTAATAAGATACCAGAATCATTGAGGAAAAAATAATTGAGAAAGTGTTCTCTCAGGTTCTGCACACAGAAACTGTGGTCCTGAAGGGGACAAAATTACACCTCATATTGGCAGCCAAACTTAGTAATGTGTATGAATCTCTCACATGGTACTTTTTTTTGAAGTCATGAAGTGGCCCTGGAAAGCACTGAGGCTCCACACTGTGAATGGTCAGGAGAGGCCATTCATGAAGGTAAATCCTCAGTTGTAGAGGAATACCCAGGATTGAAATGATCATGGGGAAATGCCAAGGCTTGGAACCAAATAACAGGGTTGGAGTCCCTGAAGAGAGGCTGGGAGTTCATTGGTCAAGGTGCAACATATGGAGACCCCGGCATTTTGGAAAAGTCAGTAATATGGGATGACCAACAAAGTCAGCAGCAGATTTAGAATGGAGCCCACCTGAAACTATGAAATGAACTGTGTGCCTTGTGGATAGACGAACTAGAGAAGTAGAACTGCCCAGGTTCTGCAGCGCCCAGAAGATCTTGAGTAAAGTCTAGATGTGGGATATCCAGTTACAAGATTTGATCTACACTGCTGGATGTTGGTTTTGTGTTGCTTTGATGGTGACTATACATTTGTTCTTTCTTGGAGCAATAAAGTATTTAGATTGTTTCCTTGTTTTCTTACGAACCCACAGTTATAACAACTTGAATATTTTAGAAACATCAAAACTTTAACAAGACACTAAGTTTTCAAAGACAACTTGGCTTTTAAATTGTTGATTATTTTTGAAGACTGTGAAACTTTAAAAGTTATACTATGTTTTATATTGTACTATTAATAGTACTATGACATTTTGGAGACAAGAAAGAAAAGATTATGGCTAATAGTGATGTGTTTTTTTTGTGTCAAGCTGACAAGGGTCAGTTGTGTTAGTTTTGTCAACTTGACACAAGCTAGAGTCTTCTGAGAAGAGGAAATCTCAATTAAGAAAATGCTCCATAAGATCAGCCTA